TCCCCCCCCGCCCCCCCCCCCGAAAGCACAGGGATGTGACCGTCATCATACATGCGTAGGCAACGCCATTCGACGTCAAGAGCAGCAGAAGGAACAACAGATGCCGTGAATTCCACATGAGTAACAGCAACACTGAACATAATCAAATTTTCATCATGATCGCCAACAGCAGCAGCAGCAGCAGCAGCTGCCGTAGCCATCAAACACAAACTACCAACACAATCTTGATTAGCAGACAGACGCAACGCATGGCTTGTTTGTGTACTCACCCATCTCTCCACTCTAACGAACCAGTGCTTCGACACTCTGGGATTGGCCAGGTGCGCGATGTTGATGAGGAGCTCTTCTGCCACCTCCTGGTACTTCTCGAGCGTCACCAAGTTCGGCCCCTGAAAAGTGCACGCATGTTTTTCGTTGACAAGCGCCGGTCTCGCCAGGTCTATAGCCTGATTCCATTGTCGATCATCACCCTCCAATCCGCGGGGCCCCCTAAGAAGGAGGGAGCCTGCAGATGGGAACACTTGCTGTGTGCTAGAAAAAACTGCACCCGCCCCCCCATGAGCACCAAAACGAATCACGTCGTCGACAAAACTCTAGCGCTTTGTCCACATGGAATTGGAACAACACATTCCACTCCATGGCATCTCACTAACATCCACGGCTTCGAATACGAAGCGCACCCCCGTGCACGGCGGTGTCGGTGGTGTTGTTGGATCCGCTGTTGGGCCCGGAAACACAGCAACCAGCATGCATGACACACTCATGTTGTACCCGCTCTTCTCTACAGCAACATTCTTCCTGGAAGGTGCGTTCGCTTTTTATTGTTTCTGTTTGTCTAAGGTGACGACGGAACCTCCCGCGGTGACGAGTCCTTCCAAAACATCGACTTACTACCACTATTGCCACTGGTTTCTGAGCGTATGGCCATATTTCGCGGCACGCCCACGCCCACCTGTATCGCAGACACGGCCTTCCTCCCCCTGTCCAACATCTCGCACTCCGCGTCGCGCAGCCCTTCCCCGTTCCCCGAACCGGCACCGGAACCGGCACCGCCCGGCCGTTGTTCTCGTGCTTGTCGCAACGTGTGCTGGGGTGACAGAGAGGATGTCGGGCAGGGGTTGTTCTTCAATTGCAGCGAAAGTGTTCTCTGGCTCTCGTCGGCATTCAAGTGAGATTTGACCCCCTCCCATTTCGATACTCGAAACCACCGGGATCCCAAGCACTCACATACGCCTTCGGAAAACGTTTCAAATGGCTCCGTTCTTTACCCGTCCCTTTCAACTACTTACACTGCCACCTGCTCCGTGCTGGGGGGGGGGGTGGCCAGGCACGGGGGAAAGAAGAGAAAGGGGAACATCTTGAAAGCATACACATGGTAGATTCTACCCAAAGTGCCGTAGGTCGTCGCGCACGAAGATTACCGGCTTTCTTCTTTCAGTGGCTTTCGCTTGCGCGACGCGTCAAAAAGCATAAAAACGGAAGGACGATCGAGACCAGCCAAGCGTATCGAACTGAAACCAACTAAACGTCATCCGACAACCAACCAACCAAACCTTGTGATCATCATCAACAGCCGCAGCATCGCTCACGCAAAGCTTGCACACTTAACCCCGAGTGAGATAAGGTGGCGATCTCAACAAGAACGAGCGATTCTCTCTCACGCTGAGAACTGGACAGAATAGAGCAGCAGCATCATACAAAGCGAGCGAGCGATATTGTGGCCGACCGGGCTAGGGCAGCCGGTGGTGGGCAGGGAGAAAAACCCCGCAAAACTCGTCACGGTTGCTTGCTACAACTGGTACCCCAAACCACAATCGCCAAAGGTACTTGCTATATCCGGTACACCAAACCTTACCTGGGCCGAAGCGAGTAGGGAAGCGACAGCCGGGCTAAAGACGTCCACGACGCGGTGCAACAGCCTGAGATTGGCCCCGCGTGTGTCCGCAAACATGGCTGCCATCTGCGCTTGAGGGTTGCCTTGACCGTTGGCGCCACCCCCGTGGTGGTGATAACCGCGGTGCCCCGGCCCGTCGTTCACCTGAGACACCGTCGGTGACAAGGTCATCTTAACAAACATCCGCAGTCGATTCTCGGGGACACTTGGTTGTTGTTTGTTTTCACAGTGAAACCCTTACCGGTGTCTGCACAGGTGGTACTTACAATCTGTCGTATTTGAACACTTGGTTGTCTCACACTGCAAACCCATACCGGCCTCTGCTCAGCTCAGTAGTACGGAGTACGTTCTTGACGCCACTCACCTTAAACGACATGCTGCCGACCTTGCGGACGAAGGCCGCCAAAACCGTCGTATACAGGCTGTAGTTCTCCAGCACCCAGACACCCCAGGGGTCGTACGAGTACCCACCAACCTCCCTCCCACGCGCGCCCGCAGCGGAGGCACCACTCTCCCCCCCCGACGTCCCGGTCTGCCTGCCCCCTCCGCTGTTCGCTCGAGAGGGCTCGATTTGCTTCATCGTGGGTGGGGTGGAGGTTAAGGCCGTTGTAGGAGACACGCAGCAAAAGTTTCGCATGAGCGCGGTGATGGCAGCAGGACAGAGCGGTGGTACCGGGAAGACATGGGTTGCGTTGGGACCGTCTCGCCGAGAGTTTTACGAAAACATCCTCTTCGTCGCCCATCAACCGAGCTTTGGAAGCTGGTGCACGGGGTTAGACATCTTGTGTCAACCACCGTAGACGCGAGCGACGGAGCAGCTTCTTGGGCAAAATAACCACCACGCGGGCCACAACATCACCAACGGCGCTGACAAATACACACATTATTCAACTTCACAAACAACCAGGACGACCCCAGCACCAGTACTTCCAACGACAATACCCTACGCAGGCGAACAAACATCACGACTCACGCCTCCAATGCATATAACACCACCATTAGGGTCTCACCACAAAGTCCTTGACCACAGCCACCACGACGGATACCCAAGGCGCCAAGCCGCCACCTTGATCGGAACTCCCTCTCGCGCTACCGGCGCAGGAAGGAGAAGCTCGTCCACTTTGTGCAGAAGCCGAGCTGGGTAAATCGCTGGTGTTCAATGAATCGGGAGAATGACCTTGTCAGAATGCCACGAAATCGCGCGCGCGAGCGAGACAGGGACAGAGAGTGACCGATTAGAGAGATACGGAGTCGGGCCCATTCGCGGTGATGAACGATAGAAACATCGGACGTGGGCGACTTCGAGAGCCCCGAACCTCGAACCTTGAATACGTTCACGTGACCAAGTACGGTAAAGAGCGTTCCATGGGACGTCAAGCTCCAAAGACTATACACAACAAACTACCGGAAATGCATGCATATAGTAGACTAAGGCTGCCACTGCCGTTGGACGCGTGTTTAGCAAGCCCTTTCTCGACGATTTATTCCCAACGACGCCCTGTTTGATAAGCAACGTACAACTACTGGGTTGTTTTCCGGCTGTCAGTATGCTGAGTTTGGAAAATCAGGCGCCACAGACGCGGCACCATATGCCCACCACCCCGCCGATTCCGCACCAAATCAGCAGACAGAGCGCCATGTGCATGTGCATACCATCAGCCGGCAAAAACACAGAAACCGATACACAGTCCAACCACAGCAGCAGCAGCAGCAGCAGCAGCAGCAGCAGCAGCAGCAGCAGCAGCAGCAGCAGCAGCAGCAACGACGACGACAGCGACGGATTTCCCACCTCTCAAGATCGACGCCGCGGCCCAGGGCCTCATCCAAAGCATCCAGAGCTCCACCGCCAGCGAAAAGCCTGCCGAGCTCAAGTGCATCGTGTTGTCCGCCGAAAACGCCACCCTCAGGAACCCGAAGACGTGCGGTCGAAGCACCTCCAGCGCAGGGGTTAGGGCTGACCTCTCTCTCTCGCTGAAGGTCTCCCCTGTTCTTGCCAGCGCCGATGCCGCAGGCGTCCCTCCCGTAAGGTCGAGATTGCGGCGACAGGCCTCCTTCAGCCTGACACGCGTGGGGTACGTCTGATCAATTCGAGCCTGAAACTTCGAGAGGGTCGATCTTGGGGGCATCAGTTACCCCCACAGCTAGCTGGACTTGGGACTACAAAGTGATACAGCGCAGTTGTGAATTTCTGTCGCCACTCCCCCTCCCCGACAAACACGGGGTACAAAAAGAAGCTCCTCTCCACACATTTACAAAGGTGTTGCCAGAACAACCGATAGACACACAATTTTCGTATTTCCATCGGATTCGGCTTTGTCTTTCGTGCACGGCGTCTATCCCAACGTACCCGTAAGGAACATGTTCACTCCCGCGGAAGACTTTGAGACACCAATCCCTGTCACTACTTCCGTGGGACTTTGTGGAGTGTTGTCATTGAACTCAGCGTCTATGACAATGGAGGAAACTATTCCCTCCAAGATCATGCAGCTGATCCCCCTCGAGAAGAAGCAAAATACCTAGTTGCCCTACGTCGGCCAACAATCTCGATCGAAAGGGCAACAAATACAATACACAAAGACTAAAGAATCGGACGAGTTCCAGCAGGATATCTCTGCCGATGCGACACCAAAAAAGGTACACACAATATGTACTTACTTGGGGTCCGCCAGGAGGTGCGCAGACGTTATCAAGAGTCCGTGGACCGACATATCGGTAGGCGGGGTGTACTCGCTATGCAGCAGCGCGACGGACGGGTCGTAGTTGCTCGTTGTGCGTGGCGCTGGAAAATGCAAGTTGTTGCTGTTGCCCCAGGCTTGTTGCTGTTGGAGGTGGTGGTGTTCTTCTTGCTGAGAGGTCGTCAAGGGTGCCGAGGCAACGAGGGAGTAAGTCGCTGAGGCACGGAGACCGGATGAGCAAGGTCTTCGTACCAGGTGAAGGTATAAAATAAAAAACAAGAGAGAACCTATCAAGTACCGACGTCAGCGCCCTCAACAATGGCGACAAAAAACACAGAGAGCCACAAGAAGTACAGCAGGCGCGGCCGCAGCAGCAGCAGCAACAACAGCAGCAGCAGCAGGAGGAGGAGGAGCAGCAGCAGCAGCAGCAGCAGCAACGCTCTCACGCAGGAACTCTCGGCACAACTGACGGTTGAAGCAGGAAGACTCCGAAACTGAAGTGACGCCGTGGCAGTGACCGTTTCATTCCTCTGACCTCTTTCAGCACGCCCGGTCGAAGAACCGTGTTGCCCTCCAGCCAGAACTCCACCAGCACCCGGAGGAAAAGCTCGCCCTGTAGGCTCATTCCGGTCCCGCCGCCCCCCCCGCCCCCCCCGCCAATGCTGACGATCATCGTAAAAAAACAAAAACGAAACGACGGCGCAAGGGTCCCCGCAGCAGCAGCAGCAGCAGCAGCAGCAGCAGCAGCAATTTTTCGTTAGAGCGCAAAACAAAATAGCAGGTTCAGCGACATGAATGGATATTTGCATCTCACTGAGGTCATTGGGGAGGCAAGGCAAGGCAAGGCAAGGCAAGGCAAGGCCGTTTCTATTCTGGGCTACATGTACCGCGTGTTGGACGACGCGAACTGTTCGACAACACATGCACCGGCAAGTTGCCCCTTCCTCCGCCGCACGTTAGTACCTTCCACGACACAATTGGGGGCTTCTTCGCCTTCCAGATGCCATAACCTTACTACAAAATTTGGAAACAACTACTCCCTTCGCAGGACACTCCTACCCATCACCCCTGTGAGTTGCTGTAGGGCCGCTAGCCCAACTACCAGCAACGAAAAAAAAACCGTTGCTGTCGAACCCTATTCGCCTCAAATTTCAACGATGCCGTCCTTTGCTCCCACGTCGGATCTCATGATCTCGTTCTTACAATAGTGGTGCATAGGCGAAGGAAAAAAACTCGAATCATGAGACACGGAGCCGATCGTCTCACCTGGCACCGCCACAGTGAGGGAAGAACGCCTCCAAATAGTCCTTGAGGAGAGTCATGTAGGGATTCAGATGAGTCAGCCCGATCACTCCATGCCTGTTGCTCAAGTTTCGCAACGCGAAGGTGTACCGTGAGCAAGTCGGGAGAGTGTACATCAGCGAGCGAACAAGAGAGAGTGGAAGAGAGATACTGAGGAGAACGAGCGGGAGAGTGAGCGAGATTGAGTGAATGAGAGAACGGACGCGATGATAGCGAACGAGAGGGAGATAGTGAACAAGAGAGCTAAGAGAGAAAGAGAGAGTGAACGAGAGAACGGACGCGATAATAGCGAACGAGAGGGAGATAGTGAACAAGAGAGCTAAGAGAGAAAGAGAGAGTGAACGAGAGAACGGACGCGATAATAGCGAACGAGAGGGAGATAGTGAACAAGAGAGCTAAGAGAGAAAGAGAGAGTGAACGAGAGAACGGACGCGATAATAGCGAACGAGAGGGAGATAGTGAACAAGAGAGCTAAGAGAGAAAGAGAGAGTGAACGAGAGAGTGGGTGGAGAGTGAACCCGAGATAGGGAATGAGAGCCAGGCGGGAGGGGGCCCAAAAGCGCCATGCAAGAAAACGAGGCAAGGGGTAGGGTTCCGACGGAAAAAAAGGACAAAAAGAAGGCTATTACATGGTCGCGACCGCAAAACAACCTGCATCGGTGCTCTGACTGGACCGTCGGTAGACATGCTCCAATATCAGTGGCCGTACCCTAATTCGGTGGCCTTTCTTGACTGTCCGCTGCCCCATTCCAGGGCCGAATCTCCAAGCGAGGAAACCCTTCATTGTCAACAAAAACAAAACACACCACAGCGTTGCAACAAAGCTGCAACGCTTGCTGGGATATTGGCGGTGATCATTCGCACTCTCACACTTCGTTCACACGTGTGCATCCTTGCAGCTCTCCAATGAACACATCCATACCTTCAGGAAGAACTCGTGGCATACCCACATACACATGAAAGAGTCCCCTATAAAATCTTCCGTGACCCCCACCCCACCCCCACCGACCCCCTAGCAAGTTAGCGCTTGTGAATGTTTCCCAAACGTCCTGAGCACCTTCATCACTTCACGCTGACACTGGCGGCATAATGCATAATGCTCATGAGCCGGGGCACCGCGGCCAATATTTCCAACAACAATGATACCCCCCACGCACACCCACCGGGGTTGGGTTTTCGTCGCTTGGCAACGACGTTGTAAAACAAGCCGCCCCCCCCAGTGTTTGCCATCGGGATTGGGTTTTCGTCGATTGACAAAGACGTTGTAAGACAAGCCAACTCACTTCGTGAACTCGGCGACCAGGTGACCGTTTTTTTCTTTTTGTACCTCCGTTTCTTCTTTGGCGGTAACCATAATGGTGGTCGAGTAGATCATGTTGTGCGGGGT